ACGGTGTGGCTATTTCTCTTTTCTCTTAATTTGTATGCGGTTTTTTATTTACATTATGAAATGGATTTAATGAGTTTTCTCTATGAATCTTCTTCGCTAAGTTTGTAATGCAAATCACTAACTCTAAAATTTGTTTGAGTTACACCCAGAAAATTTTCAAGTTCGGTGATGTGTGTATCATAAATATTCACAAACATCTTTGTATAAAAATATTAGATCCAAGTAGTTGCTGCTTGAATTGCAGCTCAAATATTTCACGAATGCGATTGTATGAGAGGTGATCTTGCGGTAACTATCATAGTCATTGCTTGTTGCTCGAGCTAGAACCTGGAGCCTGAGGTTAGGATGTTTAAGTAGGTGGTATCAATAATTTGCTAGACACTGACGATTTTATCAATTTTAATTATTAGTATTGCAAGACTTCTGATTTCTGTTATGCAAATGTCTAGTTCATCCGTTGCGATTTTCTTGCTGAGAATTTTTAATTGATTTGCTGGTCTAGATATCTGCAATTGCTAGAATCCGTAATGCACTGGCTTTTGCAACTCACACATTCTTCCAAAAGCATGGTTTCCTCTATGTGCACACCCCTATTGTTACAACAAGTGATTGTGAGGGTGCTGGTGAGATGTTTCAAGTTACAACCCTAATTAACGAAGCAGAAAAATTAGAGAAAGAGCTGAATGACAACCCTCCTCCCTCTGAAGCTGACATGAAAGCTGCTGAGCTTGTGGTGAAGGAGAAAGGAGAAGCAGTTGCCCAACTTAAATCTGCTAAAGCAAGCAAGGAGGAAATTAGTGCTTCTGTAGCTGTGCTCAATAAAGCTAAAGAGAACCTCTTGAAACTGCAAGAAAGATTCAAGCTGGGAGAGAGATGTAGACTTGGTGCTGGTTTCCCCCAAAAGGATGGAAAAATTGATTATTCTCAGGACTTTTTTGCCCGCCAAGCATTTTTGACCGTCTCTGGACAACTTCAAGTTGAAACATATGCATGTGCTCTCAGTAGTGTGTACACTTTTGGGCCTACATTTCGAGCAGAACACTCTCATACGTCAAGGCATCTTGCTGAGTTTTGGATGGTGGAGCCTGAAATAGCATTCGCTGATATAAAGGTATTTTAGTTGTAAGTTATTTATTTCACAACATAAATTTAGAGCATTAATTGTTCCAAGCAGTGCCTACTGCCAAAGCACGATAAAATTTACATACCCATTGGATGCAACATGCTCTGAAGTATAGATACTGATGAGGCATCATTAATTGTCTGAAGTTGCTGTTTTGAAAAGGCTGGCTTGGAAAAAATTAGTTACTAATGCAAGGTTGATTAAATTATTTTGGAATTTTGTTAGAAATGAAGTCCTAATTAGATTAGGAATATACCTGATTCTGAGTTAATTGTGTCATATGTTAATCTATCATGTTTACAGAGGCAAATGATTTTGATTCATGATCTGTTATCAATTGATCTTCAATTTTCCTGCTTTTAAGCTTTACTATTGCTCATGAAAACGTGTAGCGATTGTATTAGTCCTTTCCTTTGTACCGAGGAAATATTTAAAATTCAAGAATATGAGCTCCCTAAGTTCTATGAAATGAATTGTGTCACAAACAATATTTATGGATCAGAAAGCAAGAAGTAATCCAATGGCTTTTGTAGGATTCCTTTTGTGATGTACAAGAGATTACAACAAAGAATTGACTTTTGTAGGATGATATGAACTGTGCGGAGGCCTATGTCAAATTTCTCTGCCAATGGTTACTGGACCATTGCTGCGATGATATGGAGTTTATGGCTAAGTTTATTGACAAGTCTGCAATTGATCGTCTTAAAATGGTTGCTTCATCCAACTTCTACCGAATTACTTACACAGAAGCAGTTTCCATTCTTGAGGAAGCATCTAAAGAGAGGAAGTTTGAGAATGCAGTAGAATGGGGGATTGACTTAGCTTCTGAACATGAAAGGTATTTGGCATCAATAGCACGTAATTCAACTATGTGCTTTACTCATCGCATTGTGTGCCTAATCATGTAGGTTCTTGACTGAAGAGAAATTTAAAGCACCTGTCATTGTGTATAACTACCCAAAAGCGATTAAAGCATTCTATATGAAAGTGAATGAAGATAATAAGACAGTTGCTGCTATGGATGTGCTTGTACCAAAGGCAAGCTCTTTGCTTAGATATAGATGTCTTTCATAATTCTTCTATTGTAATTTGTATCATCTCCTTCAATGTTTTTGTGTCGTGTTTGTTCGTGCAAGAAACTTTTGAGGAAGTGTCTTATTAATGACCACTATGGTTGTGTTTGCGTTTTTCAGGTGGGGGAACTTATTGGTGGAAGCCAAAGAGAGGAGAATTATGAGGTCCTCAGAACTAGGTACAAGAAGCTTTGGTGCTTGATTTTATTTTATTATATTTTAATTAAATCCACCCTTGACTAAGTGGGTGGCTTTCCGGTTTGTTGAATAAGATAAGAGTACAAAAGGGAGGGAAAAACACCGGCTTACCTCCAGAATTATGGTAGAGCAGAAAGACTTTCAAAAGCTATAAATCTAGAGGGACTACTTCTTCATTACAAGGATGAGAATGAAAGTAACAACTGCAAATAGATATATGCTACACATCTAAAGACTTCTCTTGCAATCTATGAATAAAAAATTAAAGAAATGTCATTATGTTTAATTGTGTAGATAGTTTAGACGATGTGTATTTTTAGCGGCTTCATGACTGACAAAGTTTACTCTATTGGGTCACTGTGATTTTCTACAGGATACTCGAGATGGGTCTACCTGTCGAGCCGTACGAGTGGTACCTCGACCTGCGACGTTATGGGACCGTGAAGCATAGTGGATTCGGTTTAGGCTTCGAACGGATGATTCTTTTTGCAACAGGCATGGAGAACATCAGAGATGTCATTCCCTTCCCCAGGTATCCTGGAAGAGCAGACCTGTAGAGTCGATTATAGATTAATGAATGATACTGTTCTAATATTATTAGGCTTTTGCCTTGTAATTTTACATCACTCGCTTGCAAAATTTGAATACTTAAGAGGTGATAGTGAATGTCTTTCAGTCTATGAAAGTAGACAGTTCTATATTGTGTTTTCCCTTTAGTTTTTGTTCATTGTGGCACTCGATAGTTGATATGTTGTATTTGTCATTTCTCTTACGAGCAATTCAGACTTGTCCCGTCTCCAGATGTGTTTGTTAAGCTTCACACCCACACAGACATCGGTGTTGTCCATGGCTTTATGTGAAATCTGTAGTGGAAAAGTTGTGGATTTATGAGATACGTAGCCGAACCATACAGAAGCCTAATCTTCTTAATGGATTTAGTAGCCTTCTTTTTTGATGTGTTGTAATTCACAATAGTCACAATAACAGTACGTACATTAAAAATGGAACTATGCTACTTGTACAATGAATTTGACAATAAGTTTGACAATGTGTGAGTTGGCAGACATTATGTCCATTGATTTGAAAGATTGTTTTTGAATTCAATGGCAATGATCTATACACCTCACACATTGTCAAAATCATTATGAATTCCATTGATTTGAAAGATTTTTTTGAATTCAATGGTAATGATCTATACACCTCACACATTGTCAAAATCATTGTGTAAGTTCATTGTACAAGTAGTTTAATTCTTAAAAATGACACTTTTAAACGTTTTGAGAAATCGCGCTCGGAATGACTTGAGGTTTTTAACTTCCATTCTCATCCCTACTTTCTCCAAGTGATGACGAGGTAGTTGAATTTGATTGGATACAAATCAACTTATTTCAAGTAAACTTATTTATTTTGGAAGGGTCGACTTAGAGCATTTTATATTGTTACATTACAAGAATAACAACCAATTTGATACCTATTTTGTCTTCACTCACTTCAATTTTAGAATTTTTAAAACATTATAGTAAGGGCAAAGAGGAAACTATTTGACAATGTGACACTTGCATTCTGCAGCACAAAGGAATCAAATGATTTCAAATTTCTCTAACAAAGAGAATCGGATTGGATCGAACTAGAAAAGATTTAGTTTCATAATTACACATGGAATCAATAGTCTCATTTTCAAGATTGTTATTGGTACTCGATTTTGTTTAGTTCTTTTCAGAATCAGATAAAATCGAATTGCATCCATTTCTAGATATAGATTTTAAGTTATTTGAGTGTTGAAGGTACAATTACTATGCTTTGAGCATCTTATCGTTGAAAATTTGATCCTAAGATCAGATGGAAAGAACTTTTTCAAATAATCGAACGAGTATTTCAGAGTCCATCATCGTCTTTATGAAAAAGGAAAAGATATAAAGATTGAACATTCCTCACCATCTCGTGATCACACGATTGAGTGTTCATTCGATCTAGCAACCAAGATGTGTCGATCAAATTTTCAGGAATTTTCAGTAAAAAAGTGAACAACTTGTCAAGTAAGGAAAATTCTTGTAATCTTGTGGTACATTATGGGATTCATAATGGACACATTGCGGCCTACAATTGGTTGGAGTGCCGGTCCATTATATAGATCCTTAACGATCCCATAATGTACCACAAGAATTGTCCGTCAAGTAAATGGTTAGCAAAGTTAATATTTATGTCAATGAGAAAATACAGTATTCATTTCGTGAGAAATTCAACTTTGAAGTGAAAAACAATCAAATGACTTTATTTTCGCTTTTCCTAAACCACAACCGGCTACGTCGACCAAAGTTACCAGACCAGAAAACCTCCTCTTTCTTCTTTCCTCGTAGTTTCTCAACATTTTGCCCTAATCGAAGGTCAGTCAATCCAATTTCATATCTTGCTTAATCGGAAACCCGATCCCTCAATTCACAGGTACTTTTGTTAATTGTGTTTTTTTTTCTTTATTAATTTTATGACAATTCGTTTGTTCTGATAAAAATCTGATTTTTGTTACTACTGTATTTTTTATTTTATATTTTGGGTTGCAGAGGAATAGAAAATAGTTGTTACTGAATCGGAATCGAACCGGATCAAAGATGTTTACCCGGATGTTTGGAAAACCTAAGCAAGAGACTAATGCTCTCACCACTCTTGACAAATTAAACGAGGTATAATTTTTCGTGTTATCTTGTTAATAATTTATGAGCCTATGGGAACATATTTGAATAAAAGAATAAAAGTTTGTTAATCTGAATCATCTAAGACAGAGGAACAGGAAAATAAAAGGCAAAAAGAAGAAACAAATTATGTTCTCAGTTGGCTTTAGCTATGTAAAGTTAGTTTTTTGAAGTGGTTTGTTTTTGTCAAATTGTTTCTGTTCTGGATTATGAGACACTGAGCTAGTTGATCTAAGCTGACAATTCTCTTGTGGACTTGGATTTATTGGTAACTAGCTCATGGATATTTGCTGACATTCTGTATATTAACAATTATTTATGTTGTAGTTTGTGAATATGATTACCTAATAACTTCTGATTTTGTTTCTTTTATTACTATTTTATTTACATCTGGTTAAGTGAATCTTTACTGTTAAAACAGAACTCGTCTATAATCAATTGTTGTGTAATGTAATCTGCCTGTCTGGTTTAAGAGGAGTTTCTATAAAAATACTGGTATCCGTTTTGCATATAGCTCTCTCTTGGTACCACATATAAGCAATTTACTTGTACAGAAGCCCCTGACATGCATAAAAGCGAACACATTTTTGGTGTTTCATTCTTATTGTTTTCATTCGAAAAATAACTTACTGGAAAGGGAGTATGAGAAAATGATCTAATGGCAAAATATTTAAGGTTCCTTTGGCATCAGAGCCCTGGCTTTGAAAGGTATTGTGGCTTTTACTGTATCCCTAGTTTTTAGTGAGCAATTATTTTCCATGTGCTTAAGGTGATGCTAGCATACGTATCGATCTTTGAACAGGTTTTACATCTAAAACTTTAGCCTTAAACATTTGAATTGGTCAGAATTATTACTCATTGTAGTTTTTCCTATATGTATTGAATGTTATCCATCTTTCCACATATTGGTTGTTTCATTCTTACCCTTGTGTAGACTCTCGAGATGCTTGAGAAGAAGGAAAAAGTACTTCAAAAGAAGGCTTCTGCTGAGGTTGAGAAGGCCAAGGACTTCACAAAAGCGAAAAATAAAAGAGGTAAGGTCCAAGAAGAAAAATTTATGCCCCCCTCCCCTCCACCATCATGCCTGAAAAAATATAATAAACCGAAGTAACAAAAAAAATGAAATGGGAAAAAAACATGGGAAGTCCATTTATAGCTTTTGTTAGCCATTTCAGTAATACTAGAGTTTATATTTTTGTAGGTGAAGTAGTTTTTGTAACATATTTATATCTAAAATGGTATGAAAATTACTTACATTCACATTATGTAAACCATATTTCATGGAGGCAGTAGTGCAATAGTTACTTTTTATATTCATTGGAATGGTATAATATTTCTTGTACGGTGTGTAGCTGCAGGGAGAAATTAGTTTTTCAACTTGGTTCAGCTGGTAACTAGTCTCTCGTTGGTTGATGCAATAAATCACTTATAATTTGATGTATGGATCTGTCGAACTACTGGTACCAATTAATCAGTTTAAATGTGTAAGCATGCGCAAGAGTTGAGCAGTATGTATTTACAAACTTAGCCCCTGTTTGACAACCATTATTTAAGACTCTTTTTTCTACGTACTCATTTTCTACCATACATTCATAGAATAAAATATTCTGCACATAAATTCAAAACTTTTCTTTACTCTTTTAACCACACATTCTCCTATAAATCACTATTCAAAACATTGTTTTTGAGAAAAAATGGCAGGCTTAATTTTTTTAAAAAAAAAAATTTCCAAATTTAATATTGTGGATTGCTTTCTATTGGGATGAGCTTCACTGTCCACCCACATCCTCCCTCGACGATTTGCTGTAATGAAGAAGAAACATATAGATTAAAGTAATGCATTCATAGTTATGAAACCTAGACCTGACTGGACCGGCCAGTTTGACTAGAGAACTGGCAAATCGGACTCTGATCTGGCCTGGGTAGCACAGTAAGATTGTTAAGCAACTGAACCGGATGAAGTGGTTCCCTCAAAAATGGTGAACCGGTGCGGTTAAACCAACCAGTTTTTGGAAATTTTAGAAGTTCTGCCATAGGTTGGATTTGAATCTGCAACGCCTTGGAGATTATTTCCACAACAAACCAACTTATATTGAAATGACTTAAAAAATGTATTACAACATCAATATATTGTACATGATAAATCAGAACTCCAAATTCATTCATCATTTTTGTGATCCCGTTTATAAATTTTACTACCTCTCTCTGATAATGATAGGCTTAGTTTCCTTTTTCTCATGTCCCAGATTATATGCCACTTTTTCTTATTGAAAGTATAGATATTTTTAGTTTTCTAATATTTTCATGGTTCTCTCTAGCGCCCTAGTATACCCTACTTGTCCATGCCTCTATTTAGCGTACCTTGTTATCAACATATATAAATTAATCATATTTAAACCATTTTTTAATGTATGTCTATATTAGGAAATTGTGAGGATAATTTATATTTTCAACTATATTAATTACATTTTCTTAATTTGTGTGAAAATAGAAATAAACGTATCTTTATGGGACGGAGGAGTTCAATTAATAATTTTTTAAAAACTTCAATATATACATTGACCCAATGACCTGGTAGCTTGCTTGGGTCAACAAACTGGTTGTGTTTAATAACTATGGATGCATTATTCTTTGTCTTTGCATTATATTGCTTCACCATCTTTATGTTTATAAGAGCACGTCTCTTGGAGACTTTAAGTCTAAGATGCTTTCTAAAATTAGAGAGGCATTGCATAAAAATAATCTCTTAAGAGATTCTATTTTAATTTTTGGAGTTAGAAAGTTTAAATAGAGAGTGGGTCTCACTCTCCACTCTATTCTTACTTTATAATAATTGCATTTAATAAGTTACAGATTTCATTATCTACTTCTGAAATTATTCAAACCATATTTGAATTGATTGGCTACATCTAAGAAAATATATAAGTTAGATGAGGAAAAAACAATAAATGTTTTTCGTAAAAAGCAAAATAAAGAGCCAAAATAGAGAATATTGTAGTTTATAAAAAAATTACTCTCTAAATTTAGATACGCTCTCTATTATACATAAGATGTTTTTTATAAATAAAGAGTCTTAATGCGATATTTTAGTGCATTAATGACTAGTCAATGTCAAAAAGAAGTTTCAGCAATTTGGCCTCTGTAATTTTAGTTTCTGGGTGCAAATATCTTTCTCCATGGCTCTTTTTGCTGTCCCAAATCTGTTACAAGTCGCCGTGGTTTTCTTGATCCATTTTGTAAGTTTCAAGCCATGAGGGAATCTACATTAAACTAAGAAGCCAACTAATGTTAATTTTAAAAATTTCTTCGTGTAGCGGCTATACAATGTTTGAAGAGGAAGAGGTTATACGAACAACAAATCGAGCAGCTTGGAAATTTTCAACTACGCATCCATGATCAGGTTAAGCCTTCTATTCCCATTTGCATGCTGTTGCAAAATTCTCAATGAATCAATAAATTTCTTAGACAAAGTCTCACTTGGAGTTTATACATCTAATGTTCCATGGTTAGATGATACTATTAGAAGGTGCAAAAGCTACAACTGAAACTGTTGATGCTTTAAGATCTGGGGCTGCTGCAATGAAAGCAATGCAGAAAGCAACGTAAGTTGTTGATTTAAACTATGTAGACAATCAGATGTGATGAACTATGTTCCTTTTCTATTCGGTAAATACCTTTTATACAAAATTTAGATGTAGAGTAAGATTGCATAAACGAGCGGGATGGTGAATTACATATTGTGTGCGCCTAAATAGTATCTAACCCAATTTTCAAATTGTATCTAACGTTCAGGAATATTGATGACGTGGACAAGACAATGGATGAGATAAACGAACAGACAGAGAACATGAAGATGATTCAGGAAGCTTTGGCTACCCCCATTGGTGCAGCAGCGGACTTTGATGAGGTTTATGTCTTATTCCTGCTATACTGACATTACTGAAGCTTTAATTATATATTGGAGTTATCAAGGCCTATCAAGCGTTTTATGTACTATTTCATGTACTTGTACATTTGTGATTCCACGTGAATATTTCAATTTATCCCAGGATGAATTGGAGGCGGAGCTTGAAGAGTTGGAAGGTGCAGAATTGGAGGAACAACTTCTCCAGCCTGCAACCACCTTTCCCGTTGCTCCAGTACATGTTCCAGCGGGCCGAATACCAGCTCGTCCTGCATCTCATAAGCCTACTACAGCTGAGGAAGATGAACTCGCTGCTCTGCAAGCAGAAATGGCTCTTTAAGCAACGTTTTTCATTTATATTTCTCTGGTAAATTTGCTGTCATTTGTCAATGTGGAATTGAAGATTTCAAGTAGATGTGTTAGTGTAACAGTTGATCTACTGATTGGAAATTAAGAACCCGGATTTTCAACTGGTTGGAACACCTAAGTTCCAACTATATTCTGTGTATAATATTTGAGGCAAATGCTCAAAATACCCGATCAACAGTTTATATTGTTGTGTATCATTGGAGTTTGCATGCTGATATCTCGAGTTTTCTGTCTCCAACACATCCACCCTCAACCTTCTTGGTAGGGTGGCCGGGTTAGCACCCCTTTGGCTCTATATTGTAAACACGCTGTGCTTGAAAATGGTCGAAGTAATTGAGTTGATGTATGTAATTTGTATCGTTTCCATTGGAATTTGACTAATCAACAAGCAATCAACCATGCTTATTCCATTTATTGATTCAATAAATTTTAATTCTCCATAAGATTCTTTTGTAGGGAGAAAACTGGTAAACTTCATTATTGGTAACTACACTTTTATTTAGTTTTGATTAGGTATTTGCACTTTTTTTTTCAATCTTTAACTATAATTAGATTTCTTTACATTGACTTCAAAATAATCGATGTTGGCACCCTGTTTGATCCACATTCTTAATAGAAATTCATTTTTTTAAAACTCGTTCTTCAACAAAATAATATTATATGCAAATTCAAAAAAAAAATTTATTTTTTAATCACATATTTTTTATCAAATCACTATTTAAAATGCATTCTCCACTCAATAATGTGTATCAAATAGGGTCGGTAAGGCAAGTTAATCTATTCATTTAAGAATAGTTTACCTGTCAACCATCAATCGAATAACAATGTCAACATCAAATATTACAATGGTAAAAAACCAAATTAATCATACTTATCATCTCCCGCAAAAACCGAAAGGAGTGGATAAATAGGAATGGCATTATCGAGTGGGAACTACAATAATTACAACAATTTTCCAACTATCACACTCAAAGAAGCTATGCTAAGCCAAAATTTAATGGGCTCTAATCAACTATGCAACCATCAAATCACAACTAATTCCAATCGTTTATAATTGAATACTCTTTCAAGTCAATAGAGTCCAAAATGTTTAAGAAATCAAGTATACTAGGTAAGTTTCTTAAAATTACAAGATTAAATTATTGATGCACGATCATTCCAGACATTCTTCAGGGATGTTTTTGTTCAATTCTCTTGTTCAATTTTAGGTCTCTCTAGTCAAAGTTCAACAAGATCTAAGGCTCGGGGATACGAGAATTAAAGAAATAAAACTAAGCAAAGGTCTTCGACTAGATGTCCATTCACCCGCATTATCCGTTGAAATACTATCCATGAATTCTAACATTTATTTGGGATACTATGAATGAAAATGTTATTTATTTATCAGTTTTAACAGCTAGTTTTATTAGATTCTAACATTCTAAAACCTATAAGAATAATTTCTAGTACTCTTGAAATATGGAGTACTTAATATTTTCTGTCACTATTTAGTTAACATGTAAATTAAATCAATCATGCTTTGGTGCACACTTGAGTTTGATTATTTGTCACGTTGCTACGTGACAAACTATCATTTCACAATTAAAAAAAAAACCCTTCAATAATTTTTTGAAAACAAAGCAAGTGTCAAAGATGATATATGCTCCTGTTTGAGTTACATTATTTTTTTTATTCTCATTTTTCTACTCATTTTCAACCACACTTTTTTCAGTAAAATAATAATTTTCATCACATCAATAATTTTTCTTTCTTTTTCAACCACACATTTTCTATCACTGCATCATATCACATAAAAAAATGCACTCTCTCATTTTAATGTGCACCAAACATGTTTACAAATGACATTTCTCAAATTAAATAATTCACGTCATGAAGTACTGAATTTTTATATTTGGAGAGCAATAATGCTACATATACATTCATTCCCTTGCATCGACAACTTGGCATCCGCTTATATCAACTTTGACATTTTCTCAATTTTTAAATTGTTCAATGATGTATTGTCACGTGATACAATATAAATAATAATGCCCTTGTTTGACATTCATTTTCTTTCTCATTTTTTTCCTTTATTTCAACCACATTATATTAATAAAATAATATTACACATGAACTAAAAAATTCACCTTACTTTTTAATCACACATTCTTCCATCAATCACTGTCCCAAATCAATTATTTCTTCAAAATAGATGTCAAATAAGGACAATATAAAAGATAATATACATATAGCATGAATTTTTTGGAGATTTTTGTAGACAATGAGATTGTATAAGCATTTACTCCATTAGGTATGAGCGCAGGGAAATGTCAATTGTCATGATATACATCGAATATCACCGCACACTTGTAATGATTTTTTGGCACGGCGCAGACAAATGTACCTACCACTATACTATTCCCATATGTAATCAATCTATTACTTGAAAAAAAAAATATCAGATGTACGGCAAAATCATAATCCCCATAGCTTTATATGAGAAATTGCACTATCACGCTTCAATGTTTTAGTTGAGTAGCCAATTAACCCTTAAACTTTTAAAAAGTAAAAAATCCATATTCGGCCTTTCACTGTAGTTGCAAGATTAAGGGTGTGTCTGTTAGAAATTTTCATCAAATTTTGAGCATAAAAGTTACCCTTTTTTTCAACCTGTGGTTCCCACCTGTGAGACATGAGGTCAACAATGGCTATTGAGTTTAAAAATTAACGGTACAAAAATCCTTTTTTTTTTTTTGTTTAAAAAGCTCCACCAGACACCCCCTAAATGCATTTCGTGGGTTACTGTCTACATGAGGGGTAAATAGAAGGACTTTTAAGTTCACCTGATATTGATGTCTAATGAATATACGGCAGCTAATCCCAAGATTGATCTTCAATGCATTTTATTAATTGTTATTTGAGTTTTATTTTTATAAAGAAAAAAAATATCGCATCTAAGAAACTCCGTCTAGACGAATGTTTGAATCGGAAGGACTTTTAAACATCTATTTTTTGTTCGACATGTCACCTTGACCGAATTGTTCAGTTTGCATTGGAGAGATTTTTTTTTTTTTAAATACTGTCTATTCTTGTTTACGTGATAAAACCTTTGCAACAACCTACGATTTCATTGAAAATGCTCTTTAGTAATGAATAATAAATAGAAACTATCCAAATCTTTCATTAAATTGAGAAAGAATACATTTTGTTAAGATCGAAAGGGCAACATGCATCAAGTAGTCCTCCTTGATAAATACTTTCATGCCAAATCTTGAGCTTGATTGTAATTGAGACAACAGTAAATGAATAAACGAGCTCAGGAGGAGGAAAGGAAAATTTTCAGTTGAAGAAAGGCAATACTAATACATGGTCTCTAGTAGTCTCCTCAAACTTGGTTCGAGAAATGAGATTTGGTTATTCGATGATCATGGACAGGGGTGGACGCAGACATTTTAGATTATAGGCACAATCAAACCCTATACAAATCAAATATTTTGTTCTTGATTTTTTAATGATTCATACTTTGACTTAAAACAATGCAGATTTACATTTACAAAAACATTTCTACATTAATATTTTGTTAATAATTTTCATCCATTTGATTTCGAAGAGTCATTTTATTAATATTTTGTTCATCAAAAGAAAATGCATATTCACGTTTCTACATTCTCAAAAAAATACTATTCATTACTCAATTTTTCTCCCAATAATAAGAGACAAACACACCCTTATTGTGATTTTACCCCCGTTTGATGAAGGTTAAAATAAAATTTTTAATAAATTTTGATAAAAGTTCAAACAATTAAGAATTCCATGAAACATATTATTAAAATTAATCATTAAAACTCAGATTTCAATATCAAAAGACGTGACCCCTCAGGTCCTCCCCTATGATGGAGTAAGGCTTCACAATATGGCCCCATACAACCACATGCATAATAAATATTAGACAAATCTCTCATTTTAGCATCACAAAAATGATGTCTTTATCTTCCTTAAAAGCATACGACACAAAAAATTATTCATTAGCGTGACCATAGTAGATTACAATAATTACTGCAAAGTCGGTACCAAAGAGCACTACACAAGATCTCGAATACTATATAATCATCCATCCTCTATAATAAGATTAATAAAAATATTAGTTGCATCAACATATATACATGTTTAAAAGCTAAAAATTCAATAAACTTTCACAAATACAAAGATTATTTTACAACATACAATGAAAGGAACATTTTCAAAGTTTGAACCATTCAATCTATATACACGATCAAAGGGATTAATATCGTTAACTAATCTTCATGTAATCCAAATCTCCAAACGTTCGTTCGATTTCAGACACAAAATCTAGCTTATAAACTCGACCACGTGAGTGTCAAGAACGAAGACTTGAAATATCGAAAAATTGAAAATCAACTTGCTCTTTTCTTTTATGAAGAAGATAAAGATCGAGGGCCAATTCATCGCTCAAGCCAAAAGCAAGAACCATGAGCTCAATTTTCCACTAGCTGCTTTTACCGCACACTTGTAGTTGTGTGGTGGGAAGGTTGGTCCCTAGCAATTTATAGTAGCCCTAGATCTAGGTATTGGTGGATCCCACTTCATAAGATAAGAACCCAGGATTTCCTCCAAGTTTCAAGGTCACTTTCTCTGGTCAAAACAAAATCCAAACTTTCTAAAAGGAAATCTCGTCTGCCCCCACAAATGGGCATCCTTAACCTAATCCTTTTCCTGTCTCTCCAATCCAGACATAAACCTGGAGTTTTCCTTTTTTGCACAAACTTGTTTTTCAAGTGTGTTACCATGTACGTATATCCAGTCGAATTTTGTGTTTATAGGAGGGTAAAAACTGAACATGAGAAATCTTATAACAGAGGATCTTCACTTAAAAAATATTCTAATGTGCATTACAAGTTGATAACTTGGGCTTTTCATAACATTGGTAATAAATTAACTATAGACAACCTTAATTAATAAAGGAAAGGAAAGGAAAGCAATCCATGTTCTGGGCTACCTGTTCTTCAGCAACAAGTCTTGCAATGAATCCTCTCATCTTTTCTTGCAAACTTTTTGCCCCCAGGAAAGAGATTTTGTTCTTCTACTGAACTGCTAATTTATATTTACAGAAGATAGATTTTCACGGAAACTATTCATTCAAAAACAACGACTTCGAAATCATCAGCATTTTACGCAACCTAATTTGCAGAATCTCCAATGCGTTGCTCCCAAAATGACAAATTAACACCTTCCCCCTTTCACCGGTACTATTTGCATGGAGAAATAATAGAAAGCCACCAAAATATAAAACCATGATTAGTTCAACATATCGGAGACCCACCCGACGTCAGGGTTGGGGTCCTGAGCGGGGTTCTGGTTTAGGTTCCAGCTTATGTGGTTGACCCTAACCAATGGATTCTCCTTGCTCAATTTCTCAAACATCCTTACCCTCAAATCCCTCCCTGATTCAATCCTCTCCATAGGTGGCTCCTCCTCGTACCCAACATCCTTGTCCCACCTGAAACCGGCACGGGTCAAGGGTTTGGCAGGAGTCGACGGCAGACTAAAGCATCCGGGTCGGGTAACGGACAACCGAGGCGAACCCAGTCCAGATGAACAACCCACTTGCAGATTCCAAGAAGGTGGTATAGAGTTCACTTTATTTAACTGCAACTGACGCAAAGATGCGATTGCTTCGTTGATAGAATTGGATCCGATCGACCGACTGAGAGAGCTCCCGGATGTGGCGGTGGCAGCGGTCATCGGAGACATCGGCGGTGATTCAGTCGGTGGAGAACCCGAATCCGGCGACGGTATGAATGCAAGGCGATGTGGCGAGCCGTCATACGTCTCGGCTTGTGGACTCAGAACCCGAAGCTGGTCAGCCGAATGAGCGAAGAAACAAACCCTTCTCTTACAGTTAAGCCCATCCTTGCATGGCTGCGTACGATAGCGCGCCGGGTGAAGCCAGCACTCAAAAACCCCATGCGCGTATTCACACGCTTCACCCTTCCTACAGGTCCCTTTACGAAACTCCGGGCATGCGGTGCCCGAATAATGATACTTACGGGGGTCCCTCCGGCGAGCCTTTTCGCCGGGATGGGCGTACGGACACTCCGTCCAGTCATGTGACTTCCCACGCGAGCACTTCCTCACCTTGAACTCGAACATCCTGAATTGATCGCATGTGTGAGCGTCCACCGTAAAGTCCCCTTCTCCAACCGAGTTAGACGGCAAATAGCACTGCAACGCCGTGTAAATAGAGTAGTCATCGTTGGAACCGCCTCCGTTAACATTCATATTAGGGCTAAGAATGTAAGAGTTGGAATCATCGGTAGCGAAGGACCATGGAGGAACGTGGACCGTTGGCCTATCGAAGTTTCTTTCTCCGATCATCATTTTTTGATGGTAATTGGCGAACTGGTTCAGTTTGTATATAAACTGCTGGAGTACTGGGGTTTATCCATGGTTAGGGTAAATTAACCATGGGTAAGTGAAGCGCATGGTCGGTTTGAGCTAATAAAAGAATAACATTTTCTTCCATAATTCGTATTTATTTATCGTAATATATACACGTGTATTTTGGATAAGGACACTACGATTTTCTAGGCCTCGTCATTTGTTTTGATTGGGCCGTGAGGGAATTACATGACGGGCCTGTCGTTCTAAGGAGGCGGGGTTACCTTGGGGTATACTAACCGACTGCCCTAAAGTTACGAGAAGGCGGTGGAGCGTCAAATAAGAAAGAATTTAGAAGGCTAGTTATGAATAGTTTTAGTTTTAAAAAATATTTATTAAAAAAATGACTTTTAAACTGTGTCGTGTCGGCATGGACAGAGTCAAAGCGGGATTAATTCAAACTTTTTACCTTTTATCAAATTTTTATTTCAATATTTTTTTAATAAAATGTCTAAAGTGCACTTGTGGCCCAAGCCTCCTATTCGTTCAGGACGGGAAGCGTGAACTCTGATTAAATAAGCTATGATAAAAATTAAGCTTGTGTACGACTTAATTTACGCTTTAATAGTGTGTTTGGTGGATGTTGACCTCAAAATATGCCGTCAACAGATGCGGAACCCACTTGTGCATTTGCAAGCTAGATCCAACACTTTATGGCGGATCAACGTCGAGATCACTCTGAACTTGGATGTGGAAAAATCTCAACGACGCGGGACGTCTCCGTTCGAGTTTCGACAAGATATCTAAAACACGATTGTACAAGAATAACCAAACGCAATGAACTTAGTTTTAAGATTGTAAATGAATGTGAAACTATAAGACAATTGCTCCAAGTATCTAAAGTTGCATTAGTTTTCAATTGTTACATAATGGGGGTATTTATAATATTACAAACAGAATGATGACCCTTAGATGGTTACACGTAGCCTCATCTCCTTGGCCAAGACATCAAATTCTAGCCATGATATTGACTTTTCTAGATCTGCAGAGCATTTAATACTCTCACATCATATTGGCAAGACAAGAAATAAATACACTTTTTACAGACGTTACATCAATCACTCAAATAAAATCTCTATAATAAATTCAAGATCTCTGTACGTGGGTAGTCACTAATTTGGGGTGGAGTCTGGACGTATTGGGCCTCGGATTAAGGCCTCTTAGGCATGCCCACCTCAGATTAATAACGGGCCTCAGAAATTACCCTATGGGCTTCGTCTTTTATGGCTGGTGGTTTGGTAGAAATGGGTCAATAATTTCACTGGGTTGGCCACATGGCAAATGCTAGTAGCAAGTCATAACAATAGTCCCAAAATCTATGTATGATTATTTATATTATGCATGGACTTGATAATTGAATTTGTTTTTGGAGTTGAGACAGTGGGAGACTGAAATGCCGATATGCATTTACTTTGAAGATAGATGAATTTGTATTTGGAGCTGAAGCAGTGGGAGGCTGAAATGACAATTCTCATTTACTTTGAAGATAGCTGAATTTGTTTTTGGAGCTGAGGCAGTGGGAGGCTGAATTGTCGATGCTCATTTACTTTCAAGATAGTTGAATTTGTTTTTGGAGGTGAGGCAGTGGAAGGCTGAAATGTCGAGGCTCATTTACTTTGACACTAGCTGAATTTGTTTTTGGAGCTAAGGCAGTGGGACACTGAACTGTCGATACTCATTTACTTTAAAGATAACTGAATTTATTTTGAATCGAGACAGTGGATTGCTGAACTGTTGAGGCTTCTTTTCGTGCCTCAGTACATAACTTCTCCCATGACGTTCAGTATCATCATGTGAAGCTTGTGATGTCCGCCTCGAAGAGCCAATGAGGTAATCCCCTTTGGGATTTGATCATCTTCTCTGAGGCGCCCACGCTTCCCCACATAGTTGACGATGCATCCATGTGGAGGCTTCTCCCATGACGTTCAGCTTCGTCATGAGAGGTTTATGATGTATGGCTCAGATAGCCAATGAGGTAATAATCCCTTTTGGGATCTGATCCTCTTTTCCGAAGCGCCTGCTCTTCCCTACATGGTGGAGTGTCATCCACGTGGAAGCTTCTCCCATGACGTTCAACCTTGTCATAGGAAACTTGTGATGTCTACATCCGAGAGCCAATGAGGTAATCCCTGTTGATATCTGATCATCTTCTCCGAGGCCCCAATGCTTCCCCACATGGTGGATGTTTCATCCATATAGACTTCTCCCATGACATTTAGATTCGTCATAGGAGGCTTGTGATGTCTGCCTCGGGGAGCCAATGAGGTAATCCCTTTTGGCATCTGATCCTCTTCTCTGAGGCGCTCACCCTTCCCCACATGGTAGGTGGTTCATTCATGTGAAGGCTTCTCCCATGACGTTCAGCATCGTCATAGGACGCTTGTGGCGTCTGCCTCTGAGAGCCAATGAGGTAATCCCTTTTGAGATCTGATCATCTTCTCTGAAGCATCGACGCTTCTCTTCATATGGACTGATCATCTATAAAGAGGTTTCCCCTTTGATCTTTGTCAATATAGGTACTTTATAATTTTTGAACTTGTGCAAATTTGATTTTACAGATTGCAAATTGTGTTTCCTGAATGAGGACTCCAAGATAATGCCACATCTTCCATTATTTAAGGAATAAGGATTGCCTCTTCATTTATTCAAGGAACGAGGACCTCAATATATCGCGCTTCTTCCTTTATTCAAGGAAAGATGATTTCATGATAATGCCTCTTCCTTTATTCAAAGAACGAGGTCTCTCGGGATAAACATCAAGCATGGTGGGAAATAAACATCCTACAAATAGCTAAGCTCTACAATAGTGCTATCGAAGTCTTACAAATTGGCCTTGGAATAACGAAGTCTTACAGTTAGGTTCAATGATAATGAGAGGAAAGAAATAACCATCTTGCGAGACCAGGAGTAAGCATTTGGCGAGCAGGGAATAGACATCCTGCGAATAGCTCTCGAACTATCAGAGTTTTATAAGCGGGCCTCGGATAGACGAAGTCTTACAACTAGGCTCAACGATAGTAAGAGGCAATGAATAACCATCTTGCGAGGCCAAGAGTAAGCATCGGCAATTTGCCTCTTCCTTTTTCAAAGAACGAGGACTTGTAAAATATGCTGCCTCTTCTTTTATTCAATGAACGAGGACTTCAAAAAATAATGCCTCTTCCTTTATTCAAAGAACGAGGTCTTCAAGAGATTGCATCTTTCTTTATTCAAGGATGAGGCCCTTGCATGCTGAAGTGTTTAAGCATAGGCAAGGATGAGGCCCTCGTGCTCAATTGTTAAAGCATAGGCAGGAATGAGGCCCTTGCTGAATTGCTGAAGTATAGGTAAGGATGAGACCCTTGCATACTGAAGTGCCGAAGCATAGGCAAATATGAGGCCCTCATGCTGAATTGTTGAAACATAGGCAAGGATGAAGCCCTTTCATGCTGAATTATTGAAGTATAGGCAAGGATGAAGCCCTTACATGCTGAAGTGCTGAAGCATGGGCAAGGATGAGGCTCTCATGCGGAATTGTTGAAGGATAGGCAAGGATGAGACCATTGCATGCTGAAGTGCTACAGCATAGTCAAAGATGAGGCTCTCATGTTGAATTGCTGAAGCATAGGCAATAATGAGGGCCTTCCATGCTGAAGTGTTAAAGCATAGTCAAAGATGAGGCTCTCATGCTGAATTGCTGAAGCATAGGCAAGAATGAGGTCATTGCTGTTAGCCCAAGAATAACTAACCAAGAGGGGGGTGAATTGGTTTTTGAAACTTTTTCAAAAAATTAATCTAAATTCAACCAAGTAAAGCCTAAATAGAATAATTTAAATAATAAGCATAAATATAAAAGCAATAAGTAAAATGGATAGAGAGTGCAAACGATATGTTATGGAGGTTCGATCCAATGCAATGATCTACGTCCCCCGTTACCAAGCTCTCCGTCACGAGCAAGACCAATTTTACTATAATGGTAACTTACAACAAGGAGTACCGATCCTTTACAATATTGAGCTTTCCGGGACCTCAACACGACCCACACTATTGAACTTTACGGGACCTCAATATG